TGCTTGGGTACTACTCTTGGCACTGTCACCATGTTTTGGGATTGAAATTTTCAACATCCTGGTAAAATTTCTGCTTTTTAAAAAGAAGAGATTGAAATGATCTCTAATGTCTTTTCTGCAAACGTCTGTATTTCTATCTTTAACAATGAAGTATTGAAAAAAACAGCACTTCACCCTCAGTCAGGTCTTTTTAAGGGTTAATAAAGTGTGCTGATGTTTGCACACCTCAAAAAAGAGAAGTTCCTTTTGCAGCCCCTGAAGTAGCTACCTGAACACTGCTTTACTAGCCCTGAGCCCTGTTCAGTGTGCACGCACAGAAATCCGTAGTAGTCATGTGTAATGTGTTTTGGAGTGCAGTGTATTGCTCTTTTCTGAAACTTTTTTCCCTTTCTTTTTTTTTTGTTTTTGTTTTGTTTTGTCAACTTTCTGTATTGGCAGAGCATCTTGGGATTGAATTTATGGGTATGAACAATCATCATTCCTTTTAGCCTGCAGAATGTAGAACCTATGAGCTTAAATCTTTTTCCCTTCCTCCTTTTACCTTTCAGTTCCTAACTAATTTCCTTTTTCTTTAGAAGGGGTCATACAGCTATAACAATGATTTCTCTGCATTCAGTCATATGATTAGTTTACTGAAGTGTTACGGAGTCCAGCAGCTTTTAGAATCCCAAACTTTATATACGGTTTATAAAAACAAAACCACCTCACCAGCTGCAAATTCATAAATTTTCCATGTTGCTGATTGGATATGGCTGTAGCATTATATTAAATCTGGGGTAAGCTGGAGTGGTGCATAGGGCTACAAAAGGAATCAAATAAGGGTCCATTATATTAAATCTGGGGTAAGCTGGAGTGGTGCATAGGGCTACAAAAGGAATCAAATAAGGGTCCAGAGAACAAAAGAAACCGTGAAATGCATCATCTTAAATACACATTTTAGATTAATAGGAGTTTGATATAGACATTTTTAAGTCGTCTATTTAATGTTGTTGCTGTTGTTTTCAAGTCTGTTCTGACTCACAGCCCCCTGTGCACTACTGAATGAAAATGCCAGGGCCTGAATGAAAAGCACTGCTTTGTTTGAGCCCCTTGTAGCCACTACCAATTCACCATGTCCAGGAGTTTTCTTTTCCCTGACCCACTACTATTTATAAGGTGGAAGAGAAAGTCCTCCCATGACACATAATGATATAAGCACAGGTTTGAGTCACCCTGGCTTTCTGGAGAGGTTCAAGCATCACTGTCGTCACTTCATTATCTTATGAGCAGGAGACTAGAAAATGGAAAGAAATATGCCTTGTGCTCCTTTAGGTAGACATTCTAGTCCTGGTAGAATTAAATTTGAGTCACTGATATTTTTTTCCTTTCGAGGAACCACACTGATAATTTCACACTATAGTCATATAATGTGTTGTTTTAGCTTAGAAAATTTGGGTAAAAAACAGCAGAGGCTGGTGAGGAAGAGGGAAGTTGTGCCACCTTCACTGAGGTCCTGCAGAGACGCCCTATAGAAGATGTCTCTTTGGATGTCACCCTGGCCTGCAGCGTGGTCATGGATCATCAAAGAAAAGCTGTGATTTCCAGGACACTTCACAAAACCTGACCCCTGGGTCCTTGCACACACAACTCACCAGCAGCTGCTGCCTTCTTTTCAGTGACAGATAACCTCACAATCTACACCTGATATCCCTTCTATGCTCAGTGGCATATGAAGCAATTGCAAATTCTATCAGTAACAGGAAAGTGACTAAACTACCCATATCCTCAAAAACACATTCCAGAACAAAGCTCTTAATTGACAGATAACATCTCCAAATTATTAACTTTTATATAACAGAGAACGTCATCTCCCAAGAGTCCATAGTACAGTGGATGTGCCACCGTCACTAAGGTAGCTCTTCTTCTATGGCAGAAGGCTTATAAATTGAATTTCATGCCCTCAAGACAAAAATTGTCCCACTTCTGAAAAGGCTGTCTGCTCTTTTTTACAGGAAAGGAAAAAAAAATCCCTCACTCTTAACCATTGTAGCATCTTTGTGCTGCCTTACTGCTTAGAGTCCACTAAGCCAGTGCTTCACATCCTTAAGGAAAACAAGACCTTAAAGGTCAGCAAAAAGTGAGGGGTGGGGGGAATCCCAAAAATCATGAGACCTGCTTCTTGGCATGGTCAGATCAAATTGAAAGAATTGATAGCAATACCAGCCAAGTTTCAGAAGTGTTTCTGCTTCTTTAGGCCAATTGGACAATTTTTTTCTTTTCTTTACTGCTTCCTCTTACTTAACTCTTGGCTTTGTTGACCTTACTGTCATATGGTAAAAAAAAAAAAAGAAGAGTGGGTTAAAAGAATCCAACTATTCAAATGTTTTCTTTTAATATATTAACATGTCAGTATTATGTGTAAAATCAGAGAAAAATAGAAATTTAATTTAAAACAGGTTATATATTGACTCAATGCTCATATAAACTCAATCTATGATGCTTGGCTTAACTTGGGTTAATACAATATTTTGACTTAGCCATTGATTTTTAGGGAGATACCATTTTATTTCTGAAAGAATCCATTCCATGACTCATTTAGAAGACATGATGAATCACCACACACCATTTGTTCACAAACTCAACAGTCCTCTTCATAATCATCACCAGTTCTAAGAAGCTAGTCAAAGAATCTCTGATGCTTCTTTGCCCTTATATATGTCTCTGTGTTTATAGTTTGCAGAAATAACTCCACAACTGTTTCTAAAAATAGAATATTAAGCTATCAGAGAGAGATGCTACCATGACTTTACAGTTTCAAAAGAAGTAACACTAGAGTGAACTAGATTAAGCAGAAGAGGGCACAAGAGAAAGAGCCTTCATTTTCTCAGCAACAACACTTCCGCTCTTGTCTATTACCCAAGTCATCACACCAAAGGAGCCCTTCTCTGTGGTCTTCTGGCCTTGGAGAAGGGCTGATGGAGTGAGACTTCTGCTTAGCTACATGAAGGATCTGGATGGATGCCAAAGTCTAGCAAGAAGCTGCCATGACATCCATTCACAGATTAACACTTCATAAAATTTGATTTCTTGTCCTGTGGCTATGGGGGCCGAAGAGCAGGCACAAGCAATTAACGTACAAGCACCTACACGTCGCGTCCTCATTTGACTTTTGCGGCACAGTGAATGTGTGACACCAACTCTGTGTTTTCTGGTGCATTGCTTCACCGCAGTTCACCAGCTGCTTCGCTTTCTAATTGTGGCTTTCACACGCCCGCTAGCCTAGGCTAGGAGTTATGCTGTATGGGATAACCCTTCCAACTTTGCATCCACCTTTATTCCCCACCCAAGCATTTCTTTCCTCTGGTTTTCTTTTATTTATTTTTCCTCCCTTAGTATCAGGCATGCTGTGCCAGGGACATCAGATGGCTCCTTAACTTTTAACCTTATTTTCCCTTGTCCTTTACTTCCTTACTCACTCTGTCATTCTGTCAGTCTGGCTGTCCTCTTGGTTTATTTTTCCTTTCCACTTCCAACCCCTTCTTTGGTTTGTTTTTGTATAATCTATGCAGTGTTTTCTAGTCTTTTATCCACTGACTTCTGTTCTCCTTCTCCTCCTGTTAATAATAACCAGTGCTATATTAATTGATTTGACAATGTTTCTGATCTGTTAACTGGAATTTGATTACCATGGGCTTGGCTTGTAGGAAATGTTTTATTTACTGATAAGGTTCACTGTATCACAGCAATTAAAATTCACTTTGTCATTTCAAGAGAACATCCTTTGAGTTGCCCTCTCCCACTGGAGGAGATGAGAGGAGTACCTAAGACTGGGAATAGAAACGAAATATTCCTGGAGGGTCTCATGTTGATGTCCAAATGAGACAGCTCCATTAGCATGCCATTCCCCAATTTTTGCCCGGCTTTACTCTATAGAATAGCAAGTAAGTAGTTTACAGTGTTTCCTACACATGAGTGTCATTGTCTTCTGAGTGAACTTGAAAATGTCTCTCAATAAGTGTAATTGGACTGATTGCAAACTTAGATGCCAAGGGATCAGGTCACCATTAGATCCACAAATTGTGTTAAGAATAAGGCCTTCCTTGGTATAATATAATTATCGCCTAAAGCAGCTGATTTGCAAATCAAAAAAAATCATGACTTGGAGTCTCTAATTGCATCTGGGGACACTAGTGGCCTTAGATCAAAGCTTTAAGCACCCCCACATCATTAGGATAACCTGCATTAGCTAATTTGCCATATTGGCACTGATGAGAAAATTTAAACTATTTTGAAAATTTAAACTACATTTCTGCAAGTAGTTTCTTTATACTGATATCTCAGTTCTCTAAGGGCAGTAGGTAAAGTATTAAGACTTGTTATTTAAAAGACAAGTCTATGATTTTGCCCAGCGGTTTCTTAGAACCCATCATGCAGTGCTTTCTCTCATGAAGTTTCCTGTTAGTCATTATAGTATTGCTTCTTGTCTTCTCATCTTGTGGTTAAATCATAGGGATCCTGCCACATTCTGGTTGCTAACTACAAGCCAAGCTCATGTTTGCAAATGTTTTCCCATTTATTGTTAAGAATTAATTAGAAATGGTTCTTTGTAAAGACCACTGGAATAAAACGGATGGTATAAAATAGCCAGGATATAAAAAGGGAGGAGGGAGGGGAGAGAGGAGGCAACCTGAGGTTTTTTGGCGGGTGATAATTCCTGTTGTCTTTGCAAGATATTAAAAAAAAAAAAGTACAACCATTATTGTAATTATCGTCTTACAGTTCGTACTTAAGATTCGTATCTTATTATTAAAGCAATTGTATAGCTAATTATTTTAGTAGTATTATTTGTAAATGGCCCCAGCTGTCTTTGCTGCTGGTGTTTAGATACATCTGTATATTTAATGAGTTATCATTCAACTAATGTGAAGTTGGACAGTGCCATGCATCATGCCAACCGTTCTGATTCAAAGGCCTGGCAACTAAAGTGGCTTACAGTGACATTTGCTCTCATCCCTTTCCAGAAGCTGAGGAGCTCTACCAGAAGAGAGTGCTGACCATAACTGGCATCTGCATCGCCCTGCTTGTGGTTGGCATCATGTGTGTGGTGGCCTACTGCAAAACCAAGTAAACCTTTCTCCTCCATGCTTTATGCTCGACTTTGTGCAGGGCAGGCAGGTTCACAAGCAGAGGCTTTGCAGAAACTAGGCTCCACACTCTAGGCTTGTCAATGAGAGTGTTAGGGAGGGGAACTTTCCCCATTGTCCTCACAACAATCCACTTCAAAATCTTTCCTACATTAAAAACCACTTCATAGAAACCACTGCTTAGTTGTTTTGTCCATAAGACTTCTGATAAGTGATCCCTGTCCTGTGGCTAAGGGAGGGCTAGAGGGACAGGCAGACAGGAGCATACCTGTGCCTCTGTGTTTGTGGGTATACACAGAAGAGGAGTGAGTTTGTCATGTCACTGAGGACAAGTCCAATTTGCAGAGAAACTGAGGTGAAGGACACATTTGGCAACTGCAATACTGTTTTCTAAAAGTTACTCTGATTGTTTTTCAAGTCTATCCAATTAGGTCACTTGTACAAACAGTCTCCAATTGTGAGGTGTGAAGAATTAATCTAATGAGAAGAAAATGAAGCAAAATATGCTTTGAAAATATAAAAAAGAAGACATTAAACTTATTTATGCTTGTTGTGTTTATTGTTGTGTACCATTGAGTCAGAATGCCCAACCCATAGCTGACCCTCCAGTGGGTTTTTAGAGGCAATTTCTCATACAGGGGGATATTGCCCATCCTTTTTCTGCAGAGCAGCTGGTGGATTTGAACCGCATGCCTTTGGTATTGCAGTGCAGATTTTTTGCCACTAGGCCACCAGAGCTCCCTATTGTGTTATAATTTGGTCTGTATTTTCAAATAAAAGTGTAATATGACAGGAGTTTCTTTGCCTTCCCACTTATGTAATTTTTATACTCTAGGTTTCAGTAAGATTAAAGTAACCTCTTTTTTGCTTCATTTGCTCTTTTGGCTTCTTGCCAACACATCTTTGTTTCTATAATAACTTAATCAACAATTTCAACACAGTGGCAGAAAAATTATAATCTGAATGTTTCACTGAAGGGCAAAATAATATGCTTTTGTACCACAAAATTTAGGACAAGGGTTGTGGTTCAGTTTGTTGCCAGAATTGTGTAAATTATAAAAATTTCTCTGTAGCCTCAATCACATGAATCTTACTATATTCAGTATTTTTTATTGAAAGATGATATTTGAACACCAAAAGTACCATGAATTTGTCTTCAATCTTATTATTTTGATAATCACAATCCAGTTAAGCTAAAAAAAATGTTACTAGAAAAAGATCATGCTTTAACTGCGCCAAAGTCTACTGGCAAAACATGCCCAATATCCCTGCACATACACATTGTATACATGCTTGTGCACACTATATATAACGTGCAGCTTCAAAACCACATTTTCTTACGAATCTCACATGCAAAAGTATACATTAAATGAGCTTTAGCAATTCTGTAGTACAAATTATCTAAGACAAACAACCATCTGTAAAGCATTAGGCAAGTTGGATTTATTAGAGAAGTTGGGATTTCAGCCAACTCTCTACTAGATTCCCCTCTTTTTGTCTTAGCCCTCAACAGTATAGCTGAATTTTAGTCAGAATCCCATACAGAATCTCCTAGAGCCTCTTTCACCCATTTGCAAAGGCTCTGTCCTTCTACATTCACCCCTAGACAGATTCCGAGGTAAAAGGCTATACCCCAATCTCTCTTCCTCACCAACCATGGCACTGCCTTCAGATACTTGAAGATGTCAGTAAAAAGATTTGTGTATATTAAGAAATGGACCTAATTATGAACTAAATTTTCCCTTTTTCATATTTAGGAAACAACGGAAAAAGCTTCATGACCGGCTTCGGCAGAGTCTTCGTTCAGAGCGAAACAATATGGTGAACATGGCAAACGGGCCTCACCATCCTAACCTACCTCCAGAGAATGTTCAGCTAGTGAATGTATGTATGAGACCCTTGGAAAATACAGAGTTATCTCTCTTCTGCCCAGGCTTCGGCAAGTTTATTTTCAAAAGCGCTTGGGCTCTTGCTGCCACCATTAATCAGCAGAGTTTCCAGGAAGCTGAAGTTTCTCCAGAAAAAAATAAAAATAGGAAGGGTTTTTGTCGTTTGAGTTGGGGTTTTTTTGGTGTTTTTGTTTGTTTGTTTTTTGTTTTAATGATATGGTTACTTTAAACGCAGCACATTTCCACTTACAAAGTGTTCATTTAGGTATTGGAATAATAATGTTGGGTTTGTATTGAAGGGAGGTCACAGCTCTGGGAAGAAAAATAATAAAATTAACAATGCAAGAGGTACAAAAAAACTTTAAAAATATATGTGTATCTATGTAATTTGGAAATGAAGGATACCCTAGTCTATAGCTAATTAGTATAGATACGGAAACAAAGAATGCCAGAGCTATTTTTATTAGGGTCCTTATACAGTGCCTACTGATTCTGATTTCGTGGAATATAAATAAAAGTCAGGTGACTTATCAGATATGCTACTCTGTTGTAAAACTAGAAAAATACAAACATATCTTATGCCTTGGCTCTTTCTGTATGAGCCAAAACCCTCAAAATTAAAAATATCCTTAATCATTCAAATACTTTTGATATATTTTATCTTGACTTTTAAGTATAATTAGATTATGGGATACTGGATTCTGGAAAGTGGTTAGATTCCCTCTTCCCAACCTCCCTTTTCATGGATAAGAGCCATTAATCACATATCTAGTCAGTAGCAAGTTTAGCTAGCAGAAGCCAGACTCAGATCTCCTGGCTTCTGGAGTATTGCACTTTCTGTTCCATTTTATTTCTTCTTGTCTTCTTAATTCTATTCTAATGTTTGGCTTCTTGGAGATAAAACTTTAAAATGATGCTTCAGTACCATTTTAAGCATACTTTGGAGCAGCTATGTATTAGTTGGAGTCCAAGTGGGTGATTATAATACCACCCAAAATTCTTGGAGTAAGAAGTCCAGAAAATTTTTTGGCATAAATGGCTCCTATGTCAAACAGCTTGGCTAACTTTCCTCTCCTAAACAGTGTTCATCACAATGCTCTGCACAGTTGATTAAGTATTTTCACGTCAAGCATAACTGTATAACTATATTACTATTTATAATATATAACAAATAGAAGGACTCCGTGAATTCCAGTTGTGGCAAACATTTGTTAAACTTGAATTTTAGACTTTCTAACCCTTCAGTCCTCATTATGATGAAATCCTGGCAATGCTACTTCTTTCAGATGTTCTTGTGAGCATTACATAAGATAATCTATAGTACATTTTTTAGCTTGATGGTATGTAACTATTTAATCATTTCTAAAATTTCCTTTTATTGTATTACTGACCTTACTTTACTTCCCAAGAAACTAAAGTGAAATGGTAGATGGATTAGAAATAGATCACTGTGAAAGACAAATTTGATCATATCCTCATCACTTTTTTCCTATAAAGCTCTACTTGGTATGAAGATCCATAAGGAATAGCCTTTGCACTGAGAGAATAAGCCAGACTTTCAATCATAAGTTTAATGTGTATATTCCTGAATTCCTTTAAAGCCTATACAATTATCAGATGATAAAGTGCTCTATTTCATCTGAGGAGATTTTTTACTTCCTTGCCATTATTTTTTGCTTTTAATTCAATCTTATGTGAATATTAACAACATGTAAAACATAGCTCCAAAGTTGGCATCTCTCACTGAGAGAAAGCAGTTACAATGACTGTGATTAGATAGTGAAAATACTATAGAATCGACTTGCATTACATTTAACGCCCTCTTTATTTTAGGTGTTTTATCATCATTATTTGTCTGGGTAACCACCATGTGTCCCAGACTGTTTCATTCACTATTAGACTAACAACAAGTTAAAATGAACTAAATTTGATTTGAAATTTGAACTAAAGCATATCATCTCCTCCTTTGGTTTCCCTCAAATGTCTGTTAGTCTTTTTTAACTTGAAGCAATAGTAAAAATGAATATTGGTGAACTAATTGTATTGAATTTTAGTTACCAGAGAGCACTAACAGAGCTTTGTTTTTGATAAAATGTGGTTGTCATTATAGGATTTATATTATGTGCACATTCAGGAGGTAGTTAACTCCGTTCATCTCCCCCAGATGCTAAACTAGGCAGGATAGCCTCTAGCACCTGTCCATTGAAGAAAGGGAGAGTATTATGAAGCATGCATTCCAGAATAGCTTTTGTTGTAAAACAGTTTTTGAATTTTGCTTTCCCTGAATTTTCAAATTGTGTCTCTTTGGTTATCTAGCAGTACGTGTCTAAAAACGTCATCTCCAGTGAGCATGTTGTTGAGAGAGAAGCTGAGACGTCTTTTTCCACTAGTCACTACACCTCGACAGCTCACCATTCCACTACGGTGACTCAGACTCCTAGTCACAGGTATGAGAATACTTCAGGACATTATTTCCAAGAACAAATTTCTGCATGTTTCCTTTTACTATCACTATGTAAGAATTAGGATGTTCTAGCAGCTTAGTGCAATTGTGCTGTCAATCCTAAAGTATGTGGTTTGAATTCACCAGCCGCTTGTGGAAGAAAGACAGGCAGTCTTCTCCTGTGTAATTTACTGTTCCTGAAAACCTGTTGAAGGGTCAGCTATGAGTTGGTCCCAAGTTGGTGGTACTCAACAATAACAACATCCAAAGAATTAAACAGAAAACAGTTATAAGAGAGCATTGAATTGTAAAATATATCATCCTTGGACAAACCAGACTTTGGACATCAGTTGACTCTTCCACATAACTTCTATGTAAATTTAAGTCTCAATTTTTCAGTCATTGTAAAGGGGGTTAATAAATGTACCTCATAAAATTATTGTTCCTGAATCTAAAAACTGGCTTTCCCTTTCCCTGAATTGCTTCACTACACTGGGAAGGGCCCGTCATTGATTCTCTATTACGCTTAGTTGTTGATTTCCTGGAGTGATTGTATGGCCTTGACAAGTGCAATTGGAAATTTGTTAACTAGACAAATCTGAAACTCCCAAAAGTTCTGGCAATCAGTACCTAAGGGCATGCTATCAAGGACAGCAATACATTGTCAAAAGTAGCCCAAAAGAACAAATTGCTTCCTAACCGAGACCACTACGGAACACCAAGTCTGTCAGACTCCTTACTACATGGTGCCATATGATAACCATTTGTTGAATGGGTATACTAATCAGTGGAGGCTTTGGTTGCCAGAACAGTTAAATATGCAAATATTAGCCAAGTTTTCAATGATTCAAATCCACCCAGAGGTGCTAAGCAGAACTGAACTGGTGATCTCTTTCTGAAAGGGCCCAGACTTCAAAACTTTGCTTGAGGACTTCTGTTCTGCACACATGGGTTTGCCCTGAGTTGGAATCTACTAGAAGGCAGCTAACAGTAACCACCTCATGCCACGTTAGTTCAAATCCAAGCTTGTCTCTAACAAATACTTTAGTCATTTTATTCTGAAACAAATAAAGTTGTAGTGAGCCACTGTTAGAAAATTTTCTTTTCATTTTCCTCTTTTGCATATAAGTTTTTAAAAATCTCTCTGCCTCTCATCCTTTCTCCTCAGCTGGAGCAATGAACACACGGAAAGCATTATTTCGGAAAGTCACTCTGCACTCATGATGTCATCTGTAGAAAACAGTAGGCACAGCAGCCCATCTGGGGGCCCACGAGGACGTCTCAATGGCTTGGGAGGCCCTCGAGAGTATAACAGCTTCCTCAGGCATGCCAGAGAAACCCCTGACTCCTACCGAGACTCTCCTCATAGTGAAAGGTAAAACGGAAGGGCAAAGCTACTGCAGAGGACAACCCCAGTCAGAGCACCCCCGTGAGCACCTGCAGTCTCACCTAAGGAAATCTGCTCTAATCAGAATAAGGGGCAGCAGTTGCCCATTCTAGGAGTGCTCCTAGTTGATGAAGCCATCTTTTTGTTTGACTGAACTCATTTCTTCTGAGCTTCACGCATCGTCCCAGTGGCTGGCAGGCAACAGACTCTTTAAAGAGCTGGGGTGATTTGATGTGGAAGGTGCAGCCAACTTGGAGTTCCCAGCTCTGTTATAAGGCTCATACCCACTCTGGGTCTCAGTTGTAACCCTAGTGAGATGGAATCAATGATATATAAAGACCCTACTAAAAAAGCCAATTTGCCAGTTATCCAAACTCTGATACACTGATCGAGCTGGCCTCAACCTCTCATATTCTAACTCTTTCTTACCTTCCCGCTTCAGTTATCTCAAATCAAGGGCTATGGCACTGAGGACTTTCATGGGGGAACACCCGCTTGTGTCCCGCCATATAGTATCCCTGTGAAGTTCCTAGAAAAGATGAATAAACAAATCTGTTGTAAGCTACAGTTGAGTCTTCACAGGTGGTCTTCAAAGCAGATATTGCCTTACAATGCCCCGTTATTTCAAAATGTTTTGGCTTTCATCTGGGGAGATGGGGTTGATGGGAGAAGTTAATAGTAAAGGAAAAAATAAAGAATTAAGGAACATAAACTAAAGCAGACTCTAAATGCAGAGTTATAGATCCTTCTTGTCCATTTTTACCTAAGCTGAAGGAGAGCTACACCTCACTAGCATCTTTAGACCCATCAGTAAGCTGTTATCTGTTTATTTTCAAATATATATTATGTGTGTATGTGTGTGTCAAGGAATTGTTTTATTTAACTTATTCTTTATTTTGTTGTTGTCTCTTTCTAAATTTGTCCACTTGCTAAAAGTTCACACAATACCCAGTAATCTTTACTTATTTGGTAATTTCAGGGATGGAGATTATTTTGATAGACTCTCTGAATCATTGACTGGGAAGTACTTGCAACAAAGGATGATTAATTTGGGGTCGATATAAAAAGCCTGCCGATCACTTCTTTAAGGGCCTTCCTCCCAAAATGTTGTCGTAAAGTTTTATGAAATTGGAGATTACCCTGCAATTCATCTATGAAAGAGTACACAGGGTCCAAAACTGACTTAAAACATTATCCTCAAATTCACATATACTTTTATGTATTAAGAAAGTCCAACTCGCCTAATTCAGTCTTTTTATTTAAGACTGAAAGTGTGGTTACGGATAAATTCTACTTACATCTTTCAACGTGATAGACAGTCTTGGGTACCCCAAAAGTTACATTGGAATGCAACACATACCTGCCTTTGGAGTTTATGCAGAGCAAAGATGAATCACTGTTACATATTAGTTAAATTTGGGTTTTAAATTCTCAGCTTAATTTAAGTACCTCTAAAGCAAAAGTCTGAAGACTCAAGCCCCAAATATTTCAATCTCCTAGACACTTTCCCATTTTAGAAACAGCTGAATCTCACATCTCTGTCACTCTGAATCATGGCAGAAAAAGAGGAAAATTAATAACTCTCCTGTTCCTGTTAGCTGAAATTCAGATGATAGTGTCCTGTGTCATCACAGGTCATGTCAAATTAGACTTTGTGAATGCCTACGTGAAGAAAAGAGTCATTTAGTGTGAGGCATTAGCCACATTTTTTATCAAAAGTTGAGAAATGTGACTCTGAAAAAGCCGCATCCACCTTCAATTCCAAAAGTCAGGTCTTCCTTTTCTAGAGAAAGTGTGATGTGGTCGAAACTATGCCCTCAATGTCTTAAGTGTTTCACTGAGCACAGTCACACGGAACACAGCATAAGATAGCATGGTACCTCCTATAATTTAGCAGTCACAAGAGAAAACTAAAAACTGATATAGCTGAATGTTTTGCAAACAAAGTAAATGGGGGATCGAATCTAGACTTTATGGTGGCAAAACAAGTGATACATAAGGTTCTTTCAGGCTTACTTTGGAATGCCTTGAACACTGGGATGGATAGTTGCAAATTGAATATGAATTAAGAGGTAATGTTTCACGGAAAGCGTAAAAGCACACAAATGTATTTCAGTGTTATCAGGAATAAATCTAAGTTGTTATGCTCTTTCTTTTTCCATAAGACATAACCTTATAGCTGAGCTAAGGAGAAACAAGGTCCACAGACCCAAATGCATGCAGATCCAGCTATCAGCAACTCATCTTAGATCTTCTTCCATTCCCCATTTGGGCTTCATTCTCTAAGACCCCTTGGCCTTTAGGAAGGTATAGTATTTAAGTAATACTTCTTTCCCTTCCAAATCCCTGAGCCTTGGCCCTTAAAAAAAAAACAAAAACAAACAAAAAAAAAAAAAAACCTTACCAGGACCTAGCACCTTATCTTTGCTCACAGGCTTTAATTTTAAATTGTGATAATATTGAACACCCCAAAACCTTGATAAGTTAGTCATTTTGACTGATCTTTGCATGTACCCCTGCGAGGAAAACTCTTGGTGGCATAAGTTTAGATTCCAAGGGTGTTAGGTGTCCCAGTGTAAACATGGAGATGTAGACCATGAATAGAAATTCTTTAGTCTCTGATATATAATATCATGAACTCTGTCCCCTTACCCCTCCTGCTCTTGCCTCTTATTCCACCACACTTATGTGGGGTATTCTGTGCTCACACAGGTATGTGTCAGCAATGACCACCCCGGCTCGTATGTCACCTGTAGATTTCCACACGCCAAGCTCCCCCAAATCACCCCCTTCGGAAATGTCTCCACCTGTGTCCAGCATGACGGTCTCCATGCCCTCCATGGCAGTCAGCCCCTTCATGGAAGAAGAGAGACCTCTACTGCTGGTGACGCCACCACGGCTGCGGGAGAAGAAGTATGACCACCACCCTCAGCAGTTCAACTCCTTCCACCACAACCCCGCGCATGAGAGTAACAGCCTCCCCCCTAGCCCCTTGAGGATAGTGGAGGATGAGGAGTATGAAACCACCCAAGAGTACGAGCCAGCTCAAGAGCCTGTTAAGAAACTCGCCAACAGCCGGCGGGCCAAAAGAACCAAGCCCAATGGCCACATTGCCAACAGGTTGGAAATGGGCAGCAACACAAACTCTGAGAGCAGTCACTCAGAGAGCGAAAATGAAGATGAAAGAGTAGGTGAAGATACACCTTTCCTGGGTATACAGAACCCCCCGGCAGCTAGTCTCGAGGCAGCTCCCGCCTTCCGTCTGGCTGAGAGCAGGACTAACCCAGCAGGCCGCTTCTCTACACAGGAAGAATTGCAGGCCAGGCTGTCTAGTGTAATTGCTAACCAAGACCCTATTGCTGTATAAAACATAAATAAACACATAGATTCACCTGTAAAACTTTATTTTATATAATAAAGTATTCCACCTTAAATTAAACAATTTATTTTATTTTAGCAGTTCTGCAAATAGAAAACAGGAAAAAAAACTTTTATAAATTAAATATATGTATGTAAAAATGTGTTATGTGCCATATGTAGCAATTTTTTACAGTATTTCAAAATGAGAAAGATATCAATGGTGCCTTTATGTTATATTATGTTGAGAGCAAGTTTTGTACAGTTACAGTGGTTGCTTTTCCCCAGTATTTCAGCAAAACCTCTCACACTCAGTTTTTGCTGGCTTCTTGTGCATTGCATTCTGATGTTGACTGGATGTATGATTTGCAAGACTTGCAGCTGTCCCACTGTTTGCTTGTAGTAGCGCCCAGTCCATACACCTTGTAATGGCACATCCATCCAAATACTCTTCTCTTTTCTAAAATATTTTCTTTGCTTTCCGTGTATGAAATGAGTTGTGTCTACTCTGCCAGCCAAAGGTTTGCTTCATCGGGCTCAGAGATAATAGTAGATTCAGCAGCATGCTACTATTAATTATAGCAGGAAACTGCATTAAGTAATGCTAAATATTAGGGAGAAAGTAATACTGTGGTTTAAAAAAAAATAACAAACCCAACTATATTATCAATCAGAAGACCACTTGCTTCCATTGAACAAAGCTACCATTTATTTATTTTTTTTTTGTTTTCTGAACAAAATGCAGTCATTTTGGGGCTGGCTTATGACATGGATTCTGATTTTTCTACCCAGTAAATCCGACATCTAATAAGAGGACTCAATTTCACTTTGTCTCTGGGGATGATAGAGGTCATCAGATGAAGATCAAACCATGGCTGATAAAGGTGCAATCTATTTCTGACTTGTAGTTTTTCACTGATTTTGGAACTAGAGATTAGTGTGTCTTCTCAGCTCAAGAACAGACATGGTGTGGCCCAGGAAACCCAAGAGCACATTCAGCAATTTGTCTTAAATTATTCCGGATGAAATGTACCTGCTGTGCATAATGATAACTTGTCATCCTGGGGCATTGTTTTTGTCATGTAGCAAAGGTGGAAGTGTGTAGAAGGCACAGACGGAGAACATCTGTGTGACTTGGTTGAAAATTGAAATCATTGTGTTGACCACACCTTTCTCCCATGATTCTTTTTTGTTTTCCAATGTTGTCATAACTGTGCATGAACATTTTTGTCAGGAATAGCCAACATGCATGTGGTTTATGATTATTAAGAACCTTCTGTGAGTGATGATTCATAAAGAAATGTCCTTCATGTTGGAAAGATTGCACCTTTACTGGCAGAAGTGACCCACACACACACACACACACACACTCCACCCACACACACACACACACCTCTGTATTCACTTGTCAAGTTAACCACCTATATCATTATTTCCTACTCCCTAATTTTTGGCTGTACTGTCACAGAGCAAGGCTAAGATTGGTCTCAACTTTGCATGTTCTCTTGTGATTATAAATCCAAAGGAAGGCCTATAGATATTAACAGTTCAACAAATTTTAATACCAAGAAAATAAGAGATATTTAAAACAAAAACAAAAAAAAAAGCCTATTTTATGCCCTGCTTGATATCTGTAGAATCAGATTAGATCTTTACTTAGTTGCCAGGAGCTATGGACCACCATGCAAAACAGACTTCAGGAGATTCAAAATGTCAGATGTGAAGTCCGTTTTAATACCTACTTCTTGTTGCAAATGGATGGGACCGATGTACATTTGTTATAAACAAATATTTACGTTAACAATTAAAATACTTGCAAATAAGTCTTAGAAGACAAATGCAGGCTGGGAATAAGAGTCACTTTGTTAAGCTCCTCTGTGTTTCTATGGTCCACAGATATGCTCATGTGCACTCACTCAGTTTCCTCTGAAGACATGGTATCTCACTGTTTCCTTCTTGGTCCACATGGCACTTTCCTTTTGCTCCACAGTATCCTGATTTGTTAACCAGGACTGTTGAGCACCTGCCAGATTGCTTCTCCCCTAATTCGCTGATACCATGATTGTGCCCAAATGAAATGAGCTCATGACAGGAGTAGAGAACTGTCAGCCCAAAACATCCTCTAAATTTCTTTAATATTGCTTTCAAAAACCTTGCTTCATCCTTTGGCCGTTTTGATAAAGTTAATTAAGACAAAAATACTTTGAACAGTCACATATCTCATTCTAAAGAACTGCAAGAACAAATAGAATCTTCTCTTGAGAATGTAGAGGAACGGTTTACTATACATTTCCCAATTACAAGAGCATATAAAAATTCAAGGGAAAAGGAAATTTTGTTTCAACTTGATTCTGATCATTCCCAGAGGAGGCAGGTTAATGGGGACAGCCTTTTTGTCTGTAAGAGCCCTCCTCACCACCACCACCTCCATACAAGCACGGCCAGCTGACTGCTCAGGGCCACCTGCTCAGCTCCACAGATTTGTATTGGAGGGGACATTTCTGTGATGCTTAATTACCACAACACTCTCCACCATCCCTCTTGATAAACTCAGGCAGGATAGTGGCAACGCAGTGAAGGAATGTGAACCCCACACGTCAGCATCTGGAAAGCTACCGTGGGTTTTATGGTGGTAGTGATGATTGCCTGGAAGTTTGCAAGCAACTCTACTTCATTTCCTGGGCCCAAAACTCCTAATTCCGCTGAGGGGTATGCAGTGGAGTATAATATATGCAAAACTCCTTTGATCACTCACTATTCCTTTTCTATTTCCCTCTTCCTTCTTGCCTGGTATGACTAATTTTTTGTATTCTTTTTAAGAGTGCTTGGACAGCCTACTTCTTTCTAAAAAATAATTTAAAACACTGTCTAGCCTGTATGTGTGTGACTGTGTCCCACAGCAGCACCATATCATCTCTTGCTTTGTCGCTGTGTGACTGTCTTGAGTTAGGTGGAATGTTGATTCAGAGTCATCTGCTCGGGAACTATTCCTTTTTGGAATAGGTTGGAGAGGTGCATAGTTCACATTGATAAAAATAAGGAGTTGGTCTTACCTACTAGTACTGGCTACATTCCACCAGCCAAAGAGATTTTGATCCTACAAAAAAAACCCATGAAACACTGCAGAGAAATGCAGACAAAAAGAAATGGCCACATATCACAAATGTTATTCTATATTCTTTTGTAAATACATATTGTACATTACTTGGATGTTTGCCCAACTCATTTATTGTCTTTATGATTTAATGTCAGTTTATACTCTCAACTTACTGTGTAACATTGTAAATAACATAATGTTCATGATTATTTATATTTAAGCATCTAACATAGAGAGTTGTTTTCATATAAGTTGAAGATAAATGTCAAAATGTATATGTTTTTTATTTTCTTTTCTTTAAAATTATGTATCTTTTCCTTTTTCTCTTTTTAAGAATAATTTATTGTTGAGGAGAAAGAATGTATATGTAATTGAAACTGTTTGAAGAATGCACATTTGAAGGCCGTGAGGTACTGATAAAACTAAAGAATTTATTATCCAAAATACTAAGCAATAAGTAATTGTGATTTATTTAAAGTTTTGTTCATTTCATTAAAGACATATTGCAATAAAGATGCTACTCTGTGGAGACCTGGCAGTGTTGCTCAGCAGACTAGGGTTTCAGTCTGTTGAACCAGCACCTTCCCTATAATCCAACAGTTGTGCTAATTCAGGAATGTGTGTGATGGATCCCATGATCATTTTGTCTGTCCTCTGCCTTTGTCCACTGCCTGCTCTTGAGCATCTACTACCTACTGTTTTCTGTTACCACTTTATTCCTTGTTGAAGAAGCCACAACCAAGCAATACACCATCTTCTTTTGCCCTATATAAAATAACACAGCAGAGAAAAACAGTACCTACATGTATGTCCAGATCCTGGATTTTTAAAAGCTCTTTGGCAACAAGAAACTCCTTCAAACTAGTGGAACTGCCAATGTGACAATCTTATTCTGTCATAAAATGGAAGGAAATGTTATTGCTATTGGCCACATAGACTAAAAGGCACCAGCCAAAATCTACCTATGCTAAGTCTCTCTATTCTTTCACTAAATTTATCTTCTATCAGATCCACAGTTTATTAACTTAGAGTTTTATGAGAGGAGGCTAAATTGGATTCACTCACCTTGTCCAATAGAATAAAACAAATCAAACTATCTTACTGCTCAGGGAGGGTTCTATGCAGGAGAAATCTCCCACATTCTGAGACTTCATCCTAGAAATGAGGATATTATTTTAATTGTCAAGAATAGCCAAAACTAAAGCCATATTTTAACAAATAGATATTTTTATGATAATTTTTATATCTCTTCAAGTCTTATTCATTATTCCATGTAGGTTAAAGACTTTTGAAATATATGGAGTTATCTTTTGGGGTATAATGTGGCCTCCTTTGGAGTTTAATAAGAGTACCCCAAAGCTTCTTATCAAAGTCCTCTTCCATATCACCACCTAGTAACAGTTCTGGTATTGTTATTCTTCAAAGAGTATGAATGCCAAGGAAATTCATACTTTGGCCTTTAGCTTTTATCTGTTTTTATTATTACTGAATATTCACAACCATTCACCATTACACACAGAAACACATATTTGAAATTACCACATCCCATCACTTTCTACCTGTTGTTTAGCTAACCAGCTATTCTGCAAACCAGAGAGTGTGCACCGAATACTTAAGTCTGAGATCGTTTCCTAGTAACTCAAGTTTATTCTGAGGGTTTGTTCAAACCCTTCTCCCCTATATAGAAAACTATCTACCTTAGCAGTTAATTAAAATAGTTTACCTGGGATAATTTGAAACAAAAACATTCCCGTGGTAGGGAAAAATAAAGATTCACAAGAGAGCACAGTATAGTCAAATATTTCTACAAGCATAATACCGTTCACGTCAACAGTGTGGATGGAGTCTTGTACTGGAGACCCACATCAGCAGCACAAACAGCAAACATTCAATTGGGCCATAAAGTCTTCCCAGTCATTAGTTAGCTTTGCTTTCTGTCCTGATGATGAAAGACAAAACAACTTACTGGTTGAGGCGTAATGACATAGTTTTGAAATCTAGGAACTTAACATCTTCTAAAGATTGGTGATGCTCTTGTACGAACTAGATTGCTTCCTACTTCTGATGGACATGATCTGAAACTAATAGAATAAAATACATTTATGGAAACTGTTATTCAAACAGATTAATTTGATTAGAAATGCTTTCATTTATAAAAGGCAGAGCCCTCCTGTTACACACGAAGCTACAATATTCCAACTCTTGTGGCTGGCAGTAGAGCAAGGTAGTTACGTTCTTCTCTACACATGCCTCTGAGCACTGCTTGATGTCCTGGTAATGGAATCAGCAAGTGTCTGTTGTAGGCTGAGAGTTTTGAACTTCAATTTAGTTTAAATAAAATACTACCCACTGGAAAGTAGGAAAAGACATTTGGTTGGAGAAAATCTATACTGATCCAACCAATCCTTTTTAAAAAGTAATTCCTACAGAGGAGCGAGAATAGGATTATAGTTCCATGGGCAAGTTTTTCAACCCCTTTTCCTCACATAGATGTATTGGGACAGAATTTAATGGAAGAAAATACATCTTTTCTCATTCCACGTTTTCC